AGATAAATATTTTTCCCGGCATTGGCAATCCCTCTAATTCCATAATGCGCCAATTTCTTTAGTAAAGCGTGGTGGTCAATGGTTTCAAACAGCTTCTTTTAATTCTACAATTATACCAATTAAATGTTCCTTATTTTTTATTGCTGTATATTTACAAACCATTTACATTATTGCCATTTCTGTTGACCTATTTTTACGAAAGCCTTATTGTTTTTCTGTCAATAGTTTGATTATATATGATAATAAGTGAGTACTTTTTTTTATTCTCGAATGTATTTGTTGCATCTCTCATTTAATTAGGGCTTTTAAGTCTAATAGTTCCCAGTTTGAGCTAAACGGAGTCCTCGCCCTTTGTACTTACTATTAATAAAAGTCATTATTATAAGCTATTGCACCAGAAATTTCAATTGTGTTGATGACACTGGAGAACATCCAGCTCTCTGAAGAGGTAATTACAGTTCAATGAAATGCAGACATCAGGAAATTATTCAGAGGTAGAAAATAACTGTGCCCAAGGCTTCATAAAGGAAAAGATGATCAGTTTTTTATTCCCTTGGTTAAATGTAAGACTATTCTTAATTCACTTAATCGGGATTATTGAATTTAAACGAAAGTTAAAAACTCCCACAAATTAACACATTAGATTTGTAGGAATAAATTATTTTTAGATGAGAACCTCTTTACATGGTAGTAACTCTGCACATTTATATATCCATCAGCATCATGCTCTTTTTGACCAACACTGTGTTCTTTAATATTAGATAGGCTTATATTTATATGTTCTTTTTAAGAATGATTTTGCATGCAAAATTATATTTGTTAACAACTGTCAGGTTGTGTGGAGATTTATAGAGGATCCAAACACAGAGATGAGAGAGAAGCTGAGGTGGTTTCTTGCAGGTTTAATAAAAAAAAAAAAAAAAAAATACAAAATCTAATGCCCAGAACGGATCAACAAGTAAAACTCAAGAACCAAAAAAGCTAGGAAGCAAAAGGGAGGAATAAAACAAAAGAATGATGAGGATCCCGCAAAGTAACTGAACAGGATGTGTATATATGGGAGGCAGAAACAATGGGAGGACTAATTAGCTGATAGGGAGCAGGTGTAGACGGGAGTAATTAGAAGGCGCTTCGGGGATAGGAGACTGGCACAAGGGGGCAACAGAGAGCAAATAAAAAATAAAACACTGTTTAAATATAACACAAAAATAGAAAAAAAGAGAAAAAATAAAAAAAAACACAGAATCAAATAAATCAGAGTGTAACTGAAAATAAAAAAAATAAATAAACAGAAGTCCACAAAGGGCACAATCATGAAAACAAGGATTAAAGCTAAATAATATATGTACAATGACTTTCTTTGTAGTAGTAATGGTAAATATAGGAAATTACTCCATCAGTCAGTATGCCCTTCAAAACAAAGTCCAACATAGAAGTTTCTGTTTCTTGACATGTTTACAACATGTAGGTGTACAACATTTTTGAAGGATGTGATACATTTTATCAATGAGTATCTGTCCAATTGATCAATGTTCAATGCTAGTTGTGGCAAAAATGCTGTTTTATGTCAATAGCGCAGTTTAAATTGCGTTTTAAATATCAAATACTTTATTAAAGCCAAAGGGAAAAATGAATCAGAAGCGATTGATTGTTTATTATCAAGAGGGAGAAAAATGTAAAACTATGTACTTTCTAACAGTACACACTTAGACTGCACATACAAAGCCATGAGCAGCTCAATAGTCCTCAGCTGCATTAGCCTATCAATATCTAAATGATGAAGATTTGAAATTTGACTTCTGCCATATAATCAACAAAATCAAGCTTGATGAATCCAAAACTGTGAAAAATAATCAGACAAGAAATTAACCTCTAGTGACTTCTTAACTGAATCTGGAAAGGGTATTCCTGCTTAAAAAGTTTGTGAATTTTGTGAAAAGAAAACCTCCAACTTTATGCATTGCTGCTTTCATACATTAGTATGACTGTGGGCTTAGTGCTTTTGTCCTGCAATGCAGATACAGAACCGTAATGCCTTTGGCATAGAAAAATATTAAAATAGAATAATCCTTAGCTGTCAATTATGTTTCTAGATTCATCCAGGCACAATTAAAAACATTAAATCTGTCTCAATGTGTTGGATTTCATGAATCATCAGGTCTTAGTACATTTTCTTACATACTGTTGTTCTAATTAATGCATGTACGTATATTGTGTTCAAAGGTTTTGTATTTACAGTTTTCTTCTCCATCAGGGTGTGGCATGCTTTTTTTTACCATGATGTTCTCATCTAGTTAAAGATGCACAATGCGATACCCAAACTTTTGCTTGCCTAAATAATTCTCCACTATTTATATTTTTCATTTTAACAAACTACAATTAAACTGAAACCAGTGTATAAAAAATAAATTGCACTAGTTGGTTTTCACATGTCCATTTTATGGTTATAAATGTCAGAAACATTTATTTTAAAACACATTTAGGAGGCATACCCACAGCATGTTCTTGGTTGCAAGCTAACCTCGACTAATGATGAACTTGGATTTTTGCCGGAGAGAAAAACTCAACATCACCCAATGGCTCTGAATGTCACTGTGATTTTGCACTGGCCTGCATTTTCACAAGCCTTGTGATGTGGGAAAATATTGCGTGCAACTCTCAACAGTTGTAAAAAAAGACAAGCCACCCCCCCCCAAATTATATCTCCCGCCCATTCTTCTTTGTCTTTCTTTTTATCAAAGCCCTCTGTGCCCGCAATCTCTATCACCTTCCTCCACACTCTTCCCTCCCTCCTCAATCTCAGTCAATCAATCCCCTCATGAAATCGCAAGGTGACATGTACAGTGTTGTCCTGGTAACCATTGCTACATAACTGTTGCCCGGCCAACGAGTGCAAACAAGCTTCAAGAACAGCAAGGGGCTGGAGCAATAAGAACAAGACATTGAGGAGAAGCTATAAAATGCTAAAAGAAGCTTCAGGGGAGACATAGGATCACACACTGGCTACTGCGGTGCACCCTCTATTTTTATTTAATAATGCCATTGAGATTGGATCCTTTAGCCAAAGAACTACAGCATAAATATCAGAACAATTGTCTGCTAAATAAAGAAATCTATTGGAAAAGAGGCTACATTCTCAATATTTTTGTTAAAGCTACCAAAATGTTCCTATACTATGAATTTATTATTTCTTTAGAAATACTTTTCCTGGCCATGGCCACCCTGTGCAATGCCTTGGCCACCCCACTGGCCAGGGTAAATTGTAGTACCATCAGTTTAGCATTTCCTCCCATTATGCACAGCCAGGGACGTAACCTAAAAAATCACAAAATAATCCAAGATTAGAGTAGGTGTGTAGTAAAGTCTTTATGATTTCTACAGGCACGTCTACCACAATAGTAGATTCAAACACTAAAATTTTGGCATTTAGTTTCAGTGTGCCACCCCAAGATTTTTAGTGGCCCCATCTGGCCACACCTATGAAAAATTTCTGTAGGCGCCACTGCACAGCCATAATGTAGTTGGCAGGTAGTTTTGTTGTTGAGAAATGTTTGCTTTTCATTTAAATAATGATCAACTTGATGAGACTTACTTGTTTATGTAGCCAACTTAAAACAACATTTTGCCTTTAGAGTGAAATGCAATGCAATGAAACACCATTCTACAATTAACTTTTGCTTTTCATTTCTCTTCTTGGATTATGTAAAAAACTGAGTAAATGTTCTATTTAATGTATTTTTAATGTGTTCTTCAGTATGTTTAGTACAAAATAACCTAATGATGAAAGAGGAGCTGCACTAGAAACAAAACAGCCCCAAACGTATAAATAGATCAATCTAAATAATATCTATTACCACATAGTGTATCACTAATTAGCTATTATTTAACTGTATTTTTTTAAGCGGCTTAACTTTGTAGAAAAAAATCTTAATAAGGTCTTTGTAGGTTGCAAACAAATTCACTTGAAAAACCTCTTTCATTCATTTTCATCCCTATGCATCCATGCTGTCTTTTAAAGTGAAGAGGTAAAGATAAAACAGAAACTCATGCATCTTCTTGAGAGAAATTGAATTCATTTTTATTATTAAAATAACTGCAGTGCCCTAACCAAATGTTAGATTAAAGCATGTCAATGTCAACAAAAAAAAAAATAAGTTTTCATTAATCCTTTTATTTTCAAATTTAAGTGAGAGAATTAAGGACGTTACTGATGTGCCGATAGATACTAAGAGATGTGCTTAACTTAAACAAAGGACCGTCTAAAAGCCCTTGATGAAAAGAGATTTCTTTCAATGCACAGATTTCTGCGTTCTACACTCTAAAGCTGCCAAGAAAAACAGAATGGATTGCTGGAGCAAAAAAGGGTGTTTGTCTCAGAGGAAGGTGCTGCGAGGGAGGTGGAGTAAATTGACTGTTTAGAACAACAGACCCAGAGAGGGACCTTGAATGTCCATAGCGAGCTCCCTTCCCTTTTTCACTTTCAAATCACCTTATCCCCGGGTTTTTCTGGATGTTGTCCTAAAAAAACCAAGGCCATAATTTCCATCCAATTTGCTCCTTCTCCCTGCATGAACACTGACAGATTGTCATATTTTGGCCATGCTCCCAGAGGAGTGCTGTGAGAGGCAGGAGGGCAGATAAACGGCTATTACCATTCACACCGGCTCATTACTGGGCATTTAGACCCGGGAGCACCAACTCCTGAGCTCCACGCAGAGGGCATTTATGCTGTTCCAGCTCTCACCCCAGGAACCCAGCAGCATTGGCTTCATGATTGACAACTCACATCAAGCCATTTTTTATATTTAGATAAATAGTGAATATTTCAAAAAGTAACAGAAACAAATGATTTTTCAAACGTCCAATTTTCTGCATCATAAATTCTAAAAGTTACGATTGGCTTTCAATTGATTTGGTCATTCAGATGAAAGATTGTGTGGCCAAAAGCATGTTTGTGTATGTATGGATTGTGTAAGGACTAAAACAAGGCTAAAACCTACTGTCATGAATCCATCCAGCAGGCCTGAGTCAGGTTTGGGCGGGGCTTGTAGCCGCTCCATTGACCACTTCTCGATGATTGATGACACCTGAGAGTTTTCCGTGTTGAGAATGCGAAACCCAGTCATGTTAACTCCACTGTAGCGATACGGTTCCATATCAAGGGCGAAAAGGTCCTGGAAGAGAAACATGATGAAAGTATAATGTTGTGTTTGATCTGGAGAAAAAAAACAAAATAAACTTTCCATACATTTTTCATCTAAATAATTTAGAGATGTGAGTTGATTGGCAGCCCAGGCCTTATGACTAAGGGCTTAGAGGTTTATTTAAAGGTATTTTCTTTTTTTTTCTCATATAGAGGCAGTAGCCTTGATAAAGGCATGATTTCAAGGTTACAGGCAGGCTTTTGGTTGGTTGCCATTTATCATGTGGATGTGAAAGGACAAACCAATTGTCCTGCATAGAGACTATTTGGCATTTAACCAGGCAGATGTCTTTGGGACACAACAACACAGTAGCAGCAGCAGGTGACGGACCCAGAACACGGGTGCCATGGTCAATATTTGCTGTTCCGAAACCAGCACGGATGGCTGGCTACCAGTATACAGTAGTTCAGGCCAACGCAGTGTCCCCTTTTCTGCCAAACATTGGCTAGTTTTCGAAGTGGGCATGCTTCCATCTCTGCAGCCAAAATCACTGTTCTCTTTCCCCTTTCAATGACATACCTACTGTCACTGTCTCACTGTTACATACAGAAAGGTTTCTACATTTGTGTGGATGCACAACCTTTTTTTCTTCCACATCCAGCCTGTACCTTGGACTTCCAAACTACATAGTGCATCATTTGTTTGTTTGGACTATAATGGGCCAAATGGATGACACTATCATCTTCTCAGGGCTATTATCTGAGCTCTCAGTCTTCTGTTCCCTGGTTTTAGTGGGGATGGGATGCTTTTCATCTACAACATAGCAGCAGGCAATCTTTGTAGTAGCTAGATCAAAGATTCTTGGGAGAATTTCAGTGACACCCAGGGTCAGAATAAAATGTTTCCACCTGTTTTGGTCTCCAACACCCCTGTTTCTTGGCAGCCCGGGGTGCTGTATCAGAAAATGTAATTGTTGTTCAACTTTCACAACAGATTTTAACATGCAAGGGAAGTACAGGCTATAGGAGGGTGACAGCACAGTAGAAAATGAGTCAGCTTTTTCAAGCTACATGGTTTTCTCAGGTTGCTGTGAAGCTTCAATATGAGTCACATACAATCAGATTGGATTTGATTTTTTTTCTCTGCGGAATGCTCTCAGTAAAAATTTTCTCTGAGAAAAACTATCAGATTCACAAACAGATGAATCTTCAGACAAACAACCAGTTTTATGCTTGGGGGGGAAGAAAATGATCAAAACAAGTATTACTAATAGTCAACACGAGTGCAAAAACATTCAGAAAATTAACAAATACGAGTGCCAATTTACTCACCAGTGTAGTAAAAATGTAATGGTAGTACTCAGTCATCATACCCATGGCCAAGGCCTAGAAGGGAAAAAAATGACTACATTTAGGGTTAATTTGAATCTAACCTAATGCTAGATTTAATATTAGGATTTTTCCTTTAGCTAATTATTTAACTGCTAGTGACTAGTCTGTAAGAATAACAAGAATGCAGAATTTGAATAATCTGTTAAAGGCAGACTACAGAGAATGCTGGTCATTTGTTAACTAATACTTCAATTAAAAATTAAAATGGGGTTATACACATCCTACAATCTATGAAACTAAATAAAACACCTGACCTGTCCAAACAAGCTTGCAGGGTATACAGCCTGCACCCATAGTGTATTTCTGCCATCCTAAAATGACAACTTTTGAAAACTGCGGTTTACAACAAATGTGATGTTAGAAAACATAACTTTCACATTTCATTTCATTTAGATAAAGGTGTATAGTCTTCTTTGTTTTAGTATTTTTGGGTGAAACGCTTGATAGAACTTGGCCTTGGAAAAAAAGAGTATTTTTCTTTTATATAATAGTGTTGAAATATCTCCTTCAGAAAACAGTTCTTTGTGCATCGAGTTCAAGTTTTTTTTACACATTCTGTGTTATTAGCACTGATAGAAATGCGTTTATTTCACAGCTTCCTCAGTTGACTCAGTACCTACACTTGTTTTCAGTAAGCACGTTAAAATACATAGTCTAACAGCCTTGCACTTATGTGGGATTAACATTTAGAAAGCATTGTTAAAGAGAGAATCTGTTTGTTTTAGAATTTCATGGATGCTGGTCATTTCAGCATTTTTGTAATTTAATAGTTTTTTTTTTGCCTTTTTGTCTCAATATGTTTTATGCTGATAAGCATCATGATTTACTTGTTTTTTATTCGTATAGTTACCTCCATAACAGTCACATTAATCAGTTGCAAAAGTAATCGGGCCATGCTAGTCATTTGACTCGAATGAATAATGTCCACGGAAGAAGAGGGGCACTCAGAGTTGCTTATGCTTTAAAATAGAATTGAAGTCTTGCAATATTTTAGTGCTGAAATATTCAAAGCAGGATCAGAACCAAAATCAAATGTAGAGGATGCACTAGAGATCTGTTTGAATATAATTTTTTAAGGGTGCTGTTTTCATTAAATGCCACCACCTATATGCTCAGTAGAGTTCTGCTTCAAATGTTACTAAACTAAGTTTAATTACGTAATATAATTGTCTAGCTATTGATAAAAGTAAGCAAGTTGAGAAAAAACGGGTTTACCACAGCCGATTTGACTTATTGGGTTCCTTGTTTGACTAATGAACATTTTTTTGTTTGATGTGTAACAGGTCCAAGATTAAATGCTAAATAAATAAATTACATAATAATGAAAGCCTGAAAACCTTTTTTGTATGAGAGAAAAAGGCTTTTGTAGATTTTTTATGGCAATATAATCTTCACTAAAGACCACTTCAATAAGGGCCCCCGGAACTGCCATAAATAATGGCTTATGTTAAATGAACTGGAGATGCCTGCAAGCAGAGTAAGACACTCTAATAAAAAAAAAAAGTTATTGTGCAATTGAGAGCATCTGTTAGGACTGGTCAGTGTTGAAGACCTTATAATCTAGAAGGGAATAAAGGTGCACAGAGCAGAGAAGAGGAATAATAAGAAGAAAGAGCAATAAAATGAACACACTTGTTTCAGCACTTCTACATAATGAATAAGGGATGAGCTTCTGTGTTCAGTCCTAACTTTATGAAATTATGTAAATGTTTCTCCTGTAGGTAACTTTTTAATTAAATGCAGAACATGATATGATAAAATTGCTCATTTATTCACAAAATTAGCTTTTATCAGTTCATACATAGTAAATTTTGGGATGAATAATTTGCAAGTGTTTTGTTAGTCAGAATTCTTCCCATTATTACTCATTATATGACTGGTAGATAAAGGCTACCTCGCTCTTGTTGGGATGAGACCTTGAAGGTATCACTGCTCATTAAGGTGACATCACCTGTTTCAGGATCCAGGCAGCCATCTCGTGTCCACAATCAAAGATGACGTGAAACTCCTTCGCCTTCTTCATCTCCTTCAAAAGTGGCTTGGCGTCCTTGGTCTCTGTGGGCAGCTGTCGAATCTTCAAACGAATGTTATAACGGGATGGTGCCTTGATCAGCTCCTGCAGTCGAATGAGACCTGTGGACAAAGAGGGTACCATATAGCATATGAAAGAGGAATTTTAAAGATGGAGTGACATACTGTGTTTGATCTGTCACCATTTTGAAGCATCTCTGATTCTAAGGGTTGCCATAAAAAATAATAAAAAAAGGAATTTGAGCAGAAAAAGGCTCATGTGCATGCCTTCCTAATCCTCACTCTATTGAACCTCCCACACATCCTTGGCAAGCAATAGACTGCTACAGACCTATGAAAGAATGCTACACCACGCCACCACATTACATTTAAACCAAAAAGTAAAAAAAAAGACTGGAAAAAAACTTGATCCGCACCCTCCTACATTGGGTTCCAATATGACAGCAGTCTGCAAAAATGTTTATTTGCTCCTCGTGTTCCTCTGCACTACACAAAAGCACCAAATGGGTTCAATTTTACCCTGATGGAAAGCCACGGTCAATTCTTCTGTCTTTTCACACACACTTCAGATGTGTTCTGATGAGAGCGACTGTTTGCCCAGCTTGTACTTTCCCCCCTGGGGGAGCCTGACGCCGCAGTCACATATTCAGCCACAATCTTCACCTTTCATTTTTCGACCACACGCTCAGGTAGACAGCTCTCCAGGAGACTCTGTGATGAGATTACAATGAGTTTCTCCCTCGGTAAAGAACTTCAGAGTCCAGGGATGAAAGGGGCTGGATTGATAGGAGAGATGATTACTTGTCATGGGTATAAAAATGGATGGAGCAGAAGGGATAGTTTGAGAGGGAACTGGAGAGAGATGGAATTTTTTTCTTTTCTTTTTTTTTTCCTTTAGAACCACTTTAAGTTAGCTCAGCCTTTTTCCCCCCTCTTTTTTTTTTTTTTTTTTTTAAACAAAGTGCTGAGTGAGCAGTTTAATGGTCTCACTGTGTGTAGGGCTTGGTCTCCCTGAGGCTTATAGAAAAATTGGTGTGAGACAAATCCATGCAAGTCCAGTTTTGAAAAGAACTCTAGTGAGAAGGAATTCTAAACCTCCGAGAGTTGTCCTCAGGTAATCCCTATAGATCCCTACTTTGGGGCACGTCTACTTCTCTCTGTTTTTGTTCAGGCTGACACTTTGGGAGGTGTTAAGCAAGAGGGAAAAAAAAATCTGTCAAGGGAGCTCAGCGTTTGGGAAACACTGTCAGTGTGGATGTTTGCGAGCTCTGGCTAATGCCTTCAGACTTTCCCCCTGGATCTTCTAACGGCCGTGTGTGAATATTTTATCCCCTCCGATAGTTTTTCCTGCCAACCATCAGATAGGCTCCAATCAGTGGTGCAGGGCCCTGGAGCATGAAGCTGTGTGATTACAGCCTGAGACTGGGACCGGGCGGGAAGTGAAGCGGGGGCTATAGAACACGGCTATGCAGCTGTCTCACTTTTCAGAAAGTCAGGTGTCTTACAGTGGAAAAAAATAAATATCCGTATGTTAGTCGTGCGATGCTCTTAACTGACACAGAGGAAAAATCGAGAGGTCATGAGTTTGCATCTCTCTGGGACAATTCTAAGGATATAGAGCGTGTGAAAGATGCCAAGCTGTGAGGAGGGATGTGAAGAATGATGATGATGATGAATCAGAATAATGTGGCAAGTGAGATGAGCTTCTGGGATATAATCAGGGGTCATAATGGAGCTAGGATTTGCTAGGATTGACTGTGTGCTGAATGTTATGTCCTGGATATGTGTGTAGAAATACAGCACCTTGCAAAATATTCATAGCACACATTTTTTTTTTTCATTTAAAACCTATACACCTCAATAGATTGTACTCCAATTTTATCAAACAGTCCAAAAACCAAATATTTTATAAATGTGAAGTGGAAGCAAAGAGACACCTGGTTTTCAAAGTTCATAACAAATGAAACCCTGTTAAGTCTGGAGTCCATCTGTGTTAAGACATGAGGCTCAGGCTTGCGGCAAGCACAGAAAACTCTCACATAGGCCAAATTTGGTTTGACTCTATTTTGGTTAGACGCCAAACTCTAATTGTAAACCTAAAGACACCAGCATCTAAAATGTCAATATAGTTCACTAAATACAACTATATTAGTGTAAAAACATTGCTATATTAAAATAATTATGAGTATATGTGTGCATAATGCCTACTGTGCACATAACAACAATTACTGGGCAGCAATTATTAACATGGGTCAGTGGTCCAAAAACTTTTCTTGCTGGACCTCCTTTTGGTCTACAAACAGTTTTCACGACCACCCAATTGCACCCTGACCCCTACACCCACCCGAAGCAACTTATTCAACAGCTGAGCAGATAAAAGTCAACTGCAGTAAATTGCACATCGCAATTACATAAGCTACAATGTAATTTTACAGAGGAAATACAACTCTAAATTATTCCAACTTATTTATTCTAACTATTTATTAAACTTTTGCACAGACGTCATCATTGCTATCAATACATTGAAAAACAGAACAACCCTCAAAATGGCTTCATTATTGAATTCATTTGTACAAGCAGCACAGTGATTAAACAAGAACATCTCTAGGGGGTGCACTCCTCACTGACATAGGTAATCATAACCTTTTTATCTTTATTCTGAGACACTTTATTGTGAAAATGTACATGATAAAGACAGACACCAACTGTACCTGTACCTGTGCTGTCGTCATAGACTACAGTGACAGTTCTCCACTTAAAGAAGTGCACCAGGTCGAGAATTGCTCTACTGAGGGAGGAGAAGTCGGGATACAGGCTGACATAGTATGAATCTCTGTTGTCAGACACTTGATGCTTCCACTTGGTTTGGATGTGGGGCACTCCCAAAGCATTGCAGATGGACTGGACTGCGTTGGCAGATGAGCTGTGCGAGGGACCGAAAATGGCTGCCACTCCCAGAGAAAGTTGGTCACATGCTGGAATGGAAATAAACAGAAGTGTATATCAGATCAGTTCTCTGTCTGTAGCTGGAGTCTTTATTTAATCTGGATTGAATTTATTATCTTTGCTGTAGAATTAGCAAAAAAAAAAAGGAAATATGGCCAAAAAAAGAGAAACATGTCTTGAATTATTACTGTATAAAATATTTAAAAAATACAAATGTTAAGGTTATATAAAATTATTTCCCATATTCAAAGAGTATTTCATCGCCCAACTACAAAATTAGATGTTTCAATCACTTCCATGGCAACAAGTGTGTAAAATCAAGCATCCACAGGGAGTAGTCTGTTTGGTGAAAGAGTGGGTGGCTCTCAGAAGTTAACTGAATTAATGCCACCTAATGCAGTAGTTTGGTTGTTAAATTGTATTGTTCTTGAATATCACAATTCTTATTAGAATATAACAACACTTATCTAAATAATCTTGCCAAATTAAATGTTTGGCTGTGGCAAGTTGTGGGGTTTATTTTCATAAAATAAAAAGTTATTTAAGTGGCTTTACTTTTGAAAAAAATAATCTTATTTTTCCTCTGGAGTTTTATCCCTTCCATTGTTACAGCATGTAACTAGCAAATGAAGCGCAAAGCTTAAACCTTAAGAACAGTACTTCACTAACGCCTCAAGCAATGGAACATGCATTTCTGTGTCAAGTGACAAGTCCTGTTCAATAAACCAGTGACTCTACATATTTTCACCCCATGTTTACTGGTTACCACTAATGTATTTGATATTTTATAACTAACTGCTGCTTTCTTTGCACTCTGCGTGTTGCACTACTGCTTAGTTGTTTCAATCTGCCAAAACCTGGCAAAAAATTTAATTGAATTTTTTTCAATGTTTAAATAGTTAAGATTATGTTCCTAGAATGAGCCTAATTATCCTGTGAAAGACCTGCTTATTAGGAAGATTTTTTATTATTTTTAGACAAAAAACAAAAACAAGAATAGATGTTTATAAAATTAATGCATTAATACAAATTTTATTATGCATTTTCAACAAGCCATTTTTTTTTACAATCTTTAAAATCTACCACTTCTCTAATGACAAGTTGGTGATTCGAAAGCACCAATAATATATATTGTTGTATATATTGTGATATAAATCGTTCTCCTCATTCACCAGTTCCTTTTGAATGTACATATTTGTCCACTTTTTTAGTGCTTGGAGAAGCATTTGAAGAGTCAAAGACAATGGGTTTGGAGTTCATAGGTAATTGTTCACTGTATACCCCTAATTTTGTTTCTAAATGCAAATGCAATGAGAGGGGCCATTCCTGGGATAAAAAAAAAAAGGAATTACGGTATTAGAACATTGGTGTTTCATGAACCTCAAACTATGTTCTAATATATTTCTATTTAGGATAATTTAATTTAATGGTAAAATGTTTCAGATTTTTGGCTAGAGGTGATCAGTGCAGATTCCAGAAAAAAACAACAAAAAAATCCTTAACATACTAAACAGAATATTTAATCAGATACCTACATCATTGTGATTAATCATCTGCAGTGTATCAGCACGTTCTTACATCAGGGACAGCCTGGTCATACACTGACTGGAGACTACACTAATAAATGATAAATATATTACCTTTGAATTAATAAGTTTGTGAGAAATGCTCCTGTAACTCCAACTAATTCTGGTGATTCAGGCTTAAAAGTAATCACTGCCTTTTCACAAAACATATAATTTAATTCACCAAACTTACTCTCCTAATATTTATGAACAATTGTTTCAATTGAAAAAAAAACAAACAAACAAAAACTTAAAAGTTAGATTTAAGTTTAGCACACGCATTTCATTAGATTTTTTACTCACCTTTCCGAGAGGCCTCAAAGCTATCAAAGATGTTTATTCTCTGGATGTCATAGGTCAATGTTGTGTTTGGGAGCAATGTGCGGTTCCTGTTGATTGTGTTCAAGGCAAATTTAAAGGCTAATTCCTCTGCTCCAGAGGGGCCACTCTCTATGGATTCAAATATTCCCCCTAAGATCAAAAGAAATAAAGAGAAAAATAATGAGTTTGCCGAAGAGTCCATTTAGATAACTGTAATTGCAATTGATTCCTTAAAATGCCTCATACAAGAACATGATCAATTCCCTTTAGGCAATTAAAGATTATGTATTATCTTTTTTCTCCTATATCCATCATGTTGATAATGCTGTGTTCAGGATACACAGTTTGGGTATACCTGGGGAAAACACAAATTTACACTTAGGATAAGATGTTAGAATATCAGCTGATTTGCATTCTGTGAGCTGTCAGTGCAATTATAGGCAATTATCTCCATTGGGAGATGAGTTCATGGGCGGATGCCCCTCCTAAACCCCCTTGTGTTGACAGCAGGCTTCATATTTTGTTTCTTTGATTTCAATAATTTTCATATATAATGTAAGATAATAAAGCCGGATGAAAGAAAAAAGAATATAGTATAAAACAAAGCATCACATAACAACAGATGATAGAAAAGCCACAGGACAATACAGAAGTGATATATGAGAAGAGGATAAAGGAGTTGGTCCTTAAAAATCGCAACTGCAGAAACACTTGGAACTCTGATACCTTCACTTAATAAAACCTAATCATATAAAAACCTGTAAAATGCTCAGAGCATGAAAAACACAGCAGTTCAGCATCAGACAAAATAAATGCTTTTGCAATGCAAGGTGCTGTCTGTTTCTAACAGCTCCCTTCAGAATTGTCAATTATTTTGGACTGAACAGAGATGATTAAAGCTCCAGATGTTCCATCAAAATGATTTACAATCCCAAACAATAAAAGTTTGGAGCCAACCTGAGAAAAATGTGCCACATTTTGTGATTATGTCTAAACTAATTTAGAAGGATTCATTAAGCAAAACACCAGAAATAAATAAAAAGACTGCTCTCACAGCCAAAATGTGCAAGGCCTGAATGAGATTAAAATTTTGTTTGTCCTCTAATGTCCAAACCATACACTAACATTAGCAGAGGAAGGATTGATTGAGGAAGCATTGGAAGGAATGATTGTACATCAGCAAATCCCACAAATGCATCCACCTTTCTTCGGTGGAGAACCATGCCCTCAGATTTGGAGATGCTGATCCCCTTTATTTCTATCAAAAATAATGAATTTTCCTCTTAATGCACAATAGAAGAAAACACAATATGTAATTTATTAGAAAAATTATATTACTTCATAGGAACTAAAGAGCATTTTATTGATATAGAAATGTCAGTTTCATGGAAAAGTATGTTTATTACCTTATTAAAAGTTTTTATTTTAAAAAGCAATCTTTGTCTGACAAATAGGGTCTCACTGCAGTGCATATTTGAATTCCCTGAGTTGTACCTGCATTCCCTCCTATAAAGATTAACAACAAAAAAAAATAATAATTTCAACACTAACACCTTTGAAAGTAAACAAAAATCCTAAGAAAGCTTATGAAATTCAGACTTAAAAGGGAATGTTTGAGAGTAAAAAGATGAAAGAGGGTAGTGAGAGCAACTCTGTGAAACTCTCATGGGGATGAGAGGGGAGTTCAGGAGTCCATCCACAGCTTTTGTCTTCTCAGAGGGAAGAAAAAAGGATTGGCAGAATCTAAACTGCAAAACTGTAATGCCTATTTACTGGTTAAATGACACAATGAGAAAATAAGGCTGAAAAATGAAGAGAAAGAGTGACAACTTTATAAAGATAGTAAAAGGAAAGGGGGAGTTATATAGTAATGGACATTGTAGCTATAAATAGTATGTGGCTGTGGCAGGGAGTGATAGAAAATGTGTGCAGGAGGGCAAAGAATATGTCATTAACCCAGGGAAGTGAGATTCATCACTGTCAACACTGTGAAGCCATGCTTTAGGGTATTTTACTCTTTTTTTACAGTATCTTCATCTGTTCTCTGTATATAGATGTACAATTTAAACTGTGAAAATCATGTTGCAGTGCTAAAAATGAGTTAAGGCTATCTTTGCAAAGTAATATGTAAATGTTTTAACTTTTTATATACAATTAAAGGAACTACTTTAACACGCTTTTCTGTTTTAACTCTCCTTTCAGACAGCAGTGTGGAGGAGATCCCCTTGTTAGTCTTGAAAAGACCGAATACCATAATGAATGAGAAAAAATGATGTCTATCTGACATGAAATCCAAGCGATAGCACATTGAACATTACAGGCCTTTTTTACCGAATGTGAAGCCAGGCTTAATGGTATTGAATTTCGCTCATCATATTCTTTTGAGTTGCTAAATGACTTGATTTAACAGAAATAATTTAGTGCCTCCCAAAATAATTCATATCCACTGAACATTACTGTACTAGTTTGTCTTCTTAAAACATGAAATTTTAATACAGACACAAAATACAACAAATGTGGAGCGTTAAAGATTTTCCAAATGTTTTTTAAAAAATTTAATAAAAGATATTTTGTGGTTAATCTTACACTTCTTTACTCTGAAAGCAGAATGTGAAACTTAAATAAACATAAATCATAGCACTGCTTGAAGTGTACTGAAAAAATTAAGCTGTTATCAAAGACACAGGGGTGCAATTAATGGATAAACTTAGATAGAGGCCTATGGTAACTGGAAATGAGATATTCACAATTTAAATGATTGTTAACAAGAAAAATCTTAGTTATGCACTAATAGAAGAGCTTTAACAATAACGCCACTGTTGAAAAGTGAGCATATGAAGTCCCAGTTATTATTTCCCAGAAGTCATAAAGCAAATTATGTTGAAAATTGTCCTCTGGTCAGCAAAGGCCAAAATTGAATTATTTTATTCAAATTACATCCAGAGATAATTACCCCCAAATTGAAGCATTGTTGTGAGACAGCATCAAACAATATTTCCTCACACTGGACTAAATCAAAATTGTTTAAATTAAAATTGAAATAACAAAATAAAACAGAATTATGAATTAAGATGCAGTGCATCTAGAAACCTCAAACACATCTTTGCTGTAATTGCAGCAAAGCATGGTTTTGCAAAGGTTCGACAGACTGGAGCTGAAACACAATGCTTTTTCCCCCCGATCTTTACAGTAGATGTAAGACATTTTAAAAACCATCCATCATTGTACTTCCACTTCATAATAATGCACTACTTTGTGTTAGTTTAATGCATTAAATTCAATACCCTGAAGCTGGTGATTGTACCATTGGCAAAATGTGATCAAGGTTGAAGAAAAGGAGTACTTTTCCAATTCACTGTTTACGTTGCAGGCAACATAAAGACATACACTCAACACCCAGAACAAAACCTGCTAATTTTAGTTGTTTCCAACACTTAACATGAATACTGAACCTTTTTAGATAAAATACCCTCTGTATTGATTGCACTGACTGATAAATTTGACATTTCACCCCAAGTGGACTTTGTGAAGCTCTGACAAGATTTTTTCCCCTCTTTGTCACTGGTCTTGTATATTTTCCTTGATTAAAGTCTATTAATACTACCTCTCTCATCATTTCCCCCCTCCTCCTCCTGCTTGCTTTTGTGGTCTGTCTGATTGCAGGTGAGTGAATTACAGTTGCTATAATCAGGTACGGTGTGTGTGTGTGTGTGTGTGTGTGTGTGTGAGAGAGAGTGTTTCTCTGTGTGTGAACTGTGCACAGTTGCCAGGATTGCTGTAAATTAAGGTGCAACTGAAAGATCAAAGTGAGTTATGAGCTAAATAACAACCCGGATGATAAAACAGGCCAGCTGATCCTAAGGTTCCTGTGTGTATGTGTGTGTTTGCATGTGTGAAAACAGAAATAATCTAAATGAACAGAGTTAAAACTGAAACACAAGACAAGAGATTTTCTGATTAACTTAAAGGTTTTTATATACAGTAAGGCTTGGAAAATTTACATACCCTCCCATTGCAGAAAATGTTAAATTCAAAATAGTAATTCAATTAACAAAAAATAGAAAAAAGTAGTAAGAAATACAAATGTACTTAATATTATAAAATAATTTAGTAAAATAGAATATTGATTATTAAGTTTTATTTATATATATAAAAAAAAGTCTAAAAAAAGAAACTGTCCCTGAGAAATTAGAGTACTTTGCTCCTAAACAGTGAATATTCCTTCAGGTGAAGTGGTGAAGTCTTTTTTACACCTGATTTCAGTGATTGCATCAACGTTTTGCTCAACAAAAGTTTAGTTTAGAAACTCTGTCAGGCTTGTTTACTCAAAATTATTCAAAATCAGTGTCATGATTTCCCTTTTTCCATTTAGCTTTTGTCATCTAGATTTTATTTTACTGGCAACTGATTTTTTTCTGTCATTAATGGAAACATATGTAAACTTTCAAGCATAACTGTATATCAACCTTTTATTACTTGTTCTTTTCTCTATGGATGACAGAATCTGAGTAGCATCATTTTAAAATAAACTTTACAGTTAAAGAGAAATTGGAAATCCAAGCAAGGTAAAAACTTTATATCAAAAGGAGGTTATAGACACATGGGAAATTCATTAGGACCTAGAGAGTCCTAAAACCAGCTATTTTCGAATTTAACATTTAACGGGAGCCTAGTGGTTAGGGCATTGCGCTTGGGATCCTGAGGTTCTGAGTTCAAGCCCCACTCCCATGAACTGACACTCTGGGTCCCTGAGCAAAGACCATTAACCCCACACATCTCCCTGGGCTCCGTACAATGGCAGCTTACTGCTCCTCAAGAGGATGGGTTAAATGCAGAGTGAATTTTGTTGCTCTGTACTTGTGACAGTATAATGACAAAAAGCTGGAAAAAAAAATAATGAAATTCAATTTGAAGTATTGTCTAATTGCACATTTTAAATTGTATTATCAAAGAGGAATTGTACATTGTATTTATTCATTCATTATTAAATACTGAAATTTGAAAATGTTTTTTTAAAACCTGTTTCTAAATTGAAATTTAAGAAACAAAATTCATAAATATGATTATAAATACCTTTCCTAATAACATATTTAAAAAGGTTATTTGTTTTCCAATCAATTTCCGATTTTTTTTTTTCTAACTTGCATTTT